CATCGATTTCATCATGAATCTGTACTGTTTGAAAAGAGATGAATTAGCAATTGAAAAGCATAATACAGGTTGGCTAATGAATAAGTTTGTTTTGGCATGCAAATCTTCATTAAAAATTGATTTATTGTTCTTTATCGGAGATTTTTTTGCCTTGGAGTAGTTCAAAGCTTTTACTGTCTCATATCAACTAAGAATTTGTCATTATCAGTAAGATAGTACGGTTATTTTCCAATTTTGCTAATTTCCAAAGAACTCAGATGACTTTTTGAGTTTCGTTTTCTTGCCGTGATGGTTATAAAGATTAGTAATGTGGTTTTTTGGATACAGACATTGTCCTCTATCCAGGGAATAACAAATTGTATATATTGTTATGCAATTTTGTTGTCATAAAAGCAATTTTGCGCATAATGGAAATTGGGATATTTCACCTCTTCCTCTTTGCGCCTTTCGCACTGAAAAATAGTCTTACTCAGACAGAATTCATATTCCAATTCTCATTAGATCCCCTTCCAGGGATTGACAAATATCGAACAAAAATTTGCCTGCAACTTTCGTAGGAGCCGCAAAAACGACCGAACTTATTTGTTATTCAACCTAAAAATTCCCTCAAAAAACAAAACGTTTATCAAATTCGCGTGTATCTTTTAGCGAATACAATTGTGCACAGAGATTGTGTACGAGTTTTTTTGCAAGCCGCAAGGTAGCTATAGTCACTCGACCGTTTGAGCATGTAATTAAACGTGCCGAGTGGTTGGGCAACTTCAGGAAAAACTGATGAGAACTCCAAAGCGTTTTTGCCTGTCCCCCAATAAAGGCAGCATGTCGTGTCCGGTTCTCCAGCGATTGGAAGGCCATCTTCATAAGGACTACGGGCAAAACCACTTATCCTCATATGAGAACATATGAAAACGAGCTGGCGAGGTGTCTCAAATTGCCACGTGGAAGAGGGTTTGAGAATTTCCAACAGGTTTGTGGGGTAGCGAGGAAGTGGAAAAAGATGCTTAAAACTTTTAGAAACTTCCTAGAAACAGATTGTCCCCGTGATGATGTTGGAAATTTTCGCACCATTACAGAGAGTCATAAACATCTTACGGGTTTCACATCCTCTGTCGAGCTAATTTCGCTGGGAGACTAAGGTCATTCACTCAATAAGTCCATTTTGGTTCCGTGCAATAAAATTAATAGCAGTTCGGAACCTGTACCGAGAGGATGCATCCATTCCCATGACATTCACTTCCTTCCTTAATTATTTTCAATATAGGCTATGTCGATTGCGGAGTTAGGATACTTGGAGAAAGTTGATGACGAGTGCAAACTTTCTACTAGCATAGAAAAGCAAAAACGAACAGATTTAGTTTTTATTTCTTCATTAGACTAATTTCTGAGAAAGTCGCTCTGAACAAAGAATTATTTGGAATATCTTTGCGCTTATCAAGTGAAACATGCCAACAGCTATCTGTCATAAGAATTTGACAGTCACTACAAAATTTACACATTCTGAAATGATGTGTGAGTCAAAGCAATAGTCTCATAAGGTTGTTGACCTTGATCATTAACGCCTCAGCCTCCGAGGTGACACTGAGAGTGAAATTCATAGGCTCAAGTAATTCGTGTGTGACTCATACTATAGAATCTTTGACATTCCATTCATGAAGAAATGTCGTGAACCATTCAAAGCAGAGAGAGCAAACGTACTTTTGCAAAAATTCGCTACAATTGCTGCCATAAGAAATTGAGGTATTTAACGATCGGAGTGCAATTTTCTGCACTTTTGGGTTCAGCACACGTTCGAAACTACTCTAGGGAATCGAGACGAGGATTTTGAGGTCCGGGATTATGAGGATGTGAGGCAAGTCCGTACAAATTTCTTACTGGTAGCGAATGCGACAATAGTATGTAATCTGGCGTAAGCGATTTTAAAATCATAATAAATTTGTAATCATTAGATCTAACTTGTTCTTCTTCTATTTTATTAGTGATCAAAAAGCTCCCTTTTCGATATATATGATGTTAAATATTTGCGTGTATAGGTTGGTCTGTAAGTCTTGTACCAAAAAATGCTAAAAATTTACCTGAAAACATTTGAACTGTTTCAGATCAAACCTTATATTTGTCATCTAAGCAAGTGCTTTAATCTATTATGCATTATAGAAATTTCAATAGAGAAACCATAGTTACTAGTATAACGACAATCATCATAAATTTGTTTCAATTAGAAAGAGTAGTTGTGAAACCAAAATCAGAAAAATCAGATTTTCTTCTAATTCTAGCATCTCTAAGAACGAAAATATAAAAAATTACGATTTAGGCGTTTATCTTTTGATCAACTTGTATTACTGTGACATGCCACAAAGATTTTTGCTAGACGCTCGTTGAGAAGAAAATGATTTTCTCTTTCTTAGCTATCTTGAGTAAAGAATTGATAGAGAAAACGGATACTTACAACTTTTTGGAGAATTTGATGTAAGACGATCAATCTAATGGATTTGAGCAAGTCACCATCGCCACTATTTACTTTTCCGGGTCGGAATTTTTGCACTTTTTCCATTGGTTTGTTTCTTTGTGGGTATAGTTTGAGTACTGTGTGCCTGTTTCTGTGGCCAGCAATTAGCAGCTAGCAGCTGACTGACGACAGATAATTCATAATTGAGCTTCCGAACAATATTAGCTAGCATTTCTACCGCACTTCACGGGGTCCGGGGGTGACATGCCGTCTCGTCGGCTTCGTTCGGCTATGGCCGGCACTTTCGGGTAAGTGAGGACAGGTTTCGCGAAGGGGCTCCTTAGGCGCGCGCGGGCGTCACACTCACTCGTCCGCCTATAAATAGGCCAACTTGAACCGCATCAGAAACATCGTATCTTCAGCTGCTCATCAGCACTTCCTCACTCATATGTTCTGGTCTGTGGAAGGGGATTTTCCATGAATTTTTGGATCCTAAGAATGCTTCAGTTAGTCTGAGCCATGTTGAGGTTAGGCGCATCCTTATACACTTTTGGTAATCCGTCCGTTGAAGTTTTCTATTCATCAGCATCCTTAAACATGTTTGGTAATCCTTTCAAAGCAATAAATAGAAGTTCTAAGTTGATTTTTGTTTTTTCTACAATTTTGCAACAAAAATACATATACTCAAGCATATTGTGAGTATGTAGTAATGGATACATGGACTTCCTTAAGTAGTAAATTGTCTCTCATTCTTTTTTCGAAACTGTCAATTCTAACTGTTATTAGGATTTTCCTGTGATCTGCGTAGCTTGCGGGTACCATTCGATAGACCAAAGTAAGTTCTACAGTAAGATTCCCAAACATATACAGATCAACCCACGTAAAGTTCAAAGCCAAAATCTGGAAAGTTTCGAATTTCGGAGAAGTCTATAGAAATCATAGCGTCGTCTGAAAAATTCCTGTGAATCTCTCACTTGTGCAAGCATAAAATCAAAATTTATAGGTGAATATAACTTTGATGGCGGGAAATTTAGAAAAATAATGCGTTTAATCTTCAGACCATGCGTTTAGATGCTTTGTGGTTTTCGCAAATGTGAATATAGCTGCTTAGAAGTACATCCGTAATTTTGCTTTTTAGGCTCCTTAGTTCTTAGAAAATGACAATTTCAAGGTTCAGTCAATGAAAAATTATGAGACAACCTCATACACTGGGTGGAAGACATAAATCTTTATATTAGGTTGAAAAGCTGTTTTTTTTAAAGCAGAGCAGCAGGACTAAGGACGAATCCGAAGAAATATGTGAGAGGTATCGTTTGATAGAGCAAAGCAAGCTCTACAAGAAAACCTCTAAATACTGAATTGAGTCGTGGTTTACGCAAAGTTTGAAGCCCAAGCATAAGAGCAGCTCATAGTGCCGAAAATCGCATTTTCGCCCCAAAAAATCCAGGAACTTCCGACTGCTCCATCTTGTAGCAGACACATGCGCTTATCCATGTGTGCACTCGTTACATTCTTTGCCATTGGAAATTGAGAAAAATTTGAAAAACAAAAAATGGCACTCCGCCCTTAGTAGTCCGGACTCTTCCCAAAGATGCAGTTGTGTGGCAAAATCTTGATACTTTGCCCATGAAATTTTGGCCTTTGATATACTTTAGTTTTTGAGAAATGCCAATTAGCTGAGAAAACCCAAAAAAGCGGCATTCTTTTCTTTCCAACCTATGATAATGGCCTTTCTGCCTGAAACATACTCACTCCATAAACATGTGATTTATCTTCAATCTTCCCTTCCATTTCCATGTTTCAGCAGTTCCCAAGATTTTTCTCTTCATATTTGTAAACTACTCAATTATCATTTCATTCAAGATTGGACTGATACTGCGTCCTTCTCTCACAAATGGCCTCAAATCATTCCTAAACAACATTATGGACTGTTGAATGGAGACCAATAATATCTTTGAAAAGAACCGGCCTAGCTGAATTCTAGCTCCTTCGGTTGATGCATAGCACCATATGCATCAAAGTTTTCAACGATGCCAAATGAAGTGGAATGAGTGGAGTATTCGCAGTAGCAAAGTAACTACTGACTTTATAAGGTGGTAAGGGAAGAATTTAACGGCTAATAATATGAGGAAGACAAAAAGTTGCCCAAGGCTGGTAGGGTCATCAAGACTGAACCCTTAAGCGCATTGCTTTGATCCTTTTGTTTTTGTCATATTTCTTACACAGTAACTGGTTTCTGCATCATCCAGGTAGATTCAAAGGAGACTCTCGGGTCACTTTTTTGCTCATTCGTGACATAATGCATGCTTTTGCAAAGAAACATCCCATTACCATGAATGCTTTAACTTCAAAGCTAGTGTACAATAACAGTTCTGTATTGAGAAAACCTCATTCTGAGAAGCTAGTCACGTTTTTTCTCCACTAGAGAAAAAACCCTTTACTATATAAAGGTGTTACAGACTTCTGGTGAATTGTTTCTGGTATTACAAATCGTATCGTGATTGATTCTTGCGAACCTCCACAATATTGCTAAATCCGGCAAAAAAGATTTTTTCAGATGTTTTCGGCACGGAATGCTGGCCTGCTGGCATGTGCCTTCTCCACTGGAGCGCTTCTGGTTTGCCTCTTCTATATGCCAGCTTTGGTAGTGAAGATTCAAAACATCAACGATCAGGTCTAGCTTGTTTACCGTAATCCTCGTGCATTCTATAACCCTGAAATGGAATCATGTTGACGTTTCAGCTTCGAGTCGATTCGGACGAGTTCCGCGTTATCGCTGACATGACATGGACGGAACTGTCAAAAGCCCGACTCAGCGATGCAGGAAGGATTAGGAGACAGGTGAGGGTAGAAAACGGACCATTACTTTTGTGCAAAGAGATCAAAATGGCGGCTCTAATCAGTGGTCTCAAACGAGAATGACTTAAATAAGGAAGCTAAATCAGCAGATAACGCTATGCGGTAAGATTTTCACTGCTTCTGAAGTGATTACCGTGAGAAGAGATTAGGTGCCTTCGCCTTATTCCAAGTTCTTGAAAAAATTGAAAACCCAAAGAATCAATTGCAAAATACCAGGACAAAATCATGAATATAGTTGCTCTGCTCATGCTCGACAAACTAGTTTTTCTGCTTTTTCCAAACTTGGATATTTGATGAAGATCCATCATTCAGGCATATGGAGCACCGCCTCCACCACCAAAAAAGAGCACCTATACATTGCCGACATCTTATGTGAAGCAGGATGCCTTTGTTGAACAAGCGGTGTGCAGTGAGTGTTTTGTGATGAGGAATTTGAATTGCTTACGATAGTAAAAAAATTCAGACTGCGATCCTAATAATGCTTGCCCGCCGGGACCTCCCGGGGCTCCTGGAAAGCCAGTAAGTTTTATCCTGCCTTTAAAGTCAGCTACCATTGCTATTTTAGGGAATGGACGGCGAGCCGGGAGCACCTGGAAAACCTGGAGCCCCCGGACTTGCTGGCATTGCTCCTCCCGTTACGATTGACCCTGTAAGAATCTTTCTTCAAATGTTTCCTGCTTATATTATTACCGTTCTTATAGCAACAAGGTTGCCGCGTTTGTCCACATGGTCCTCGCGGACCACCAGGACCACCTGGAGAGGCGGGACCAATGGGACCGGAAGGAATGCCGGGAAATCCTGGAAGACAAGGAGAAGCTGGCCGTGATGGATACCCTGGTATCGATATAATACCAACTCAATGAACACATGATCGATGTGGTGATTACAGGACAACCTGGAATTCCTGGAGAAAGCGGTAAACCAGGAAAAGTTGGAGAACCAGGAGCACCTGGTAGAGAAGGTGTCCGCGGTGCGAAGGGAGCACCCGGAGAGAAGGGAGAGCCAGGACCTCAAGGGCAGAAGGGACCCTCCGGATATCCTGGACGTGATGGACAACGAGGACACGATGGTAAGGAGAAAGAAAACTGAGATCTGCAAAGCATGAGAATTTTTGTTATAGGTGAAGTCGGGCCTGCCGGACCTCAAGGACCACCTGGCTTGCCGGGAGAGCGGGGTCAGCAAGGTGTTGCCGGAGCTCCAGGTAAGAAGATCATTCGACAGCTTTCATACGGTAGAAGGCAAAAAGAAAATTCCTTGAATTTAGGACAACCTGGGCCCGACGGCTCTTACTGTAAATGTCCAGAACGAAGCTTGGGCGTCAACAAATACGAGAAGCCAGCAGTGTCTGTTGAGCCGCCTTCATACGAACCCGCAGCGGCTGTGCAGGTAAAAATCTAATATTTTGCTGTTACAAGCTAGAATAGGCATTTTCAGTCGCCAGCTCCATCGTACGAGGCATCTGCGGAGACTCCTCGTAGTCCGTATCGCAAGTGGAAATGGCTTCAATAAATGCTCGAAATGCAGAAACTTGAAGCAGAAAATAAAGATGCATGCTTTCTTATTTACAGAAGTCTCTTTGACAACATATATTTAGTCGAATAGATCGCGAGGTTGTAGCGTTGGTTGTATGAAATGACAGTTTGTGTCTACAGTGGGGAAAAGTACTGTTCCACTGTTCCTAAAATATTGGCGCGTTTCCCAGATTTTTCTGGTAAATTCGACATGAATCCCAGAATAGGAATACGTTCTATCATTCTACAAGAACGGGCCGAAGATTTCTACAACATCACCTGGTGGCGGATCCCTTTCACAATGCAATCCATATCCACTTTTGCCACTCTCGTAAGTATGAAGATTTCCCAAAACCTTGTGTTCAACGAAAATTTTAGTAATCTTTTGCTGCTTGAGGAAGGTAGCAGTGACTTTCAATATTGTAGATATAACCAGTCCTCAGATTTCCAGACAAGAAGAAATCATGGGTCGTAGTTTTTGGTAATTTTCTGAATGCTCTTCATTGAATGCAGAAAACTGTATCCTTCAGACAGGCGTGAAAAACTGCATCAAATGCCAACATTACCTTTTCAAATCTTTGTTCCACGAAATAAGCTTATAAAAAAAAGAACTTATTTTTAAGACGACTCAATCCTTCTATATATATAAAACCGAATGGTGTACTTGCCTGTACGCTGGTGGATGCTGTCTGTACGTCCTCGATGGTGTTTTTCTGGTCGATGGTGTTTTCGTGTCTGTCGTTTTCCAGTATGGAAACTTGTTACTACTTCCACCAAATTTATCGATTATTTGCAGATTTTGTACTACGCGGCTCGGAGTCGGCACAGGGGGTAAGCGAACATGTGCTGATTACGAATACAATATTAGTTTTTAGAATTATCAGTCATATCATTTCGTCGATTTCTTTTGCAAAGTTCAAGCTACGGGGCTGAGAGTTGGCACAGGGGGTAATCGAGCATGCTGATTACGAATATGATAACCACTTTCAAAAATACCCATTACTTTTATCATTCTATCGATTTTTTTTGCAAATTTTGAACCAAGGGGCTGGGAGTTGGCAAAGGGGTGATCGAGTATGCTGATTACGAATACAATATTAGTTTTTAGAATCATCAATTACTTTTATCATTTTATCGATTTTTTTGCAAAGTTCGAGCTACGGCGCCGAGAGTTGGCACATGGGAGCAAGCGAGCATGCCGATTACGAATATGATAGCCAATTCAGAAAATACCCATTACTTCTATTGGTTTAATCAATTTTTTGCAATGTTTGAACCACGGCGCTGGGGGTTGGTACAGGACTGGTAATTGAGCATGCTGCTCACGAACACGTTCTTATTTTACAAGTTATCAATTACCTTCACTTGCTTTATCGATTTTTTTGCAAAGTTTAAGCCACGGAACTGGGATTTGGTACATGGGAAAAGCGAGCATACCGATTACGATTGTAATAAGTGTTCTTGAAAGTACCTATTACTTCTGTCGATTTTTCTATTCTTTGTAAAATTAGAGCTACACGGCTGGTTTTTGGCACAGAGTTGTATGTGATCACGCTCACTGCGAAGAAGTAACCGTTTTTGAAGATACCCATTACTTTTATTGATTTCATCTTTTTTAAATGAAGCTACGAGGCTGAGATGGCACCGGTCCGGGGGTAAGTGAGCATGCTGAGAATCTATAATCACACTCGGAATTGACGAAGACGGTAAATTTACCTAAAGTTGTTATAGATCCACTTTGGCTCGCCTTTACCTTCTAAAATCCTACTTCTGCCCCTAAAATCAGAAAAGCACAAAGAGCTGGTTTTGAGGGAAGTAAAGGCTTATAAACTGAGGCGGCAAGACATTTCCTCTAAGAATTTCTACGAGTCAATATCTAATGTTACAGAGATTTCCTTGAAATTTACTTCTGGCCCTTCTACTTTGCAAAAACCATATTTTTGCCTCTAAAAGTAAAAAAGCACAAAGTGCTGTCGAGGGAGGGGCAGACCCATGAGCTTCATCCGACAAGACATTTTCGCTAAGATGTTTAACCCCTAGACTTCCCCAAAACCAGTACTTCTGCCCCTAAAAGCAGAAAAGTACAGGGAATTTAGTCTCGAGGAAAGAAAGAATCATGGCTTCAGGTAGCAAGATATTTTCGCCAGAAGTCTCTGGGAGTAAATGATTATACAGAAACTTGCTTAAAATTTACTGCTGGCCCTTCTACTTTGCAAAAACCATATTTCTGCCTCTAAAAGTAAAAAAGCACAAAGTGCTTTCGAGGGAGGGGCAGACCCATGAGCTTCATCCGACAAGACATTTTCGCTAACAGGGAAAGGATACTTAGTCGAAAGCACCAATCCAGATGGGAGATATATCTCCTTAAAGCGCTTGAAACGCTGATTCCCAATTATAGTTTCTAGCTGCGTAGCGGTAATGTAGAAGGAGTTATGAGGGGTGTTCCCCTCTGGGTTGAAGCGCCCTCGCAGTCTCCCCCTATCTATGAGCACTGTAGAGGGGTATCAGCTGGTGACAACTGGCGTAATGGTAAGTAACTTGAATGAAGATTACAGTAAGGGTTACAATACTCGTATTACTTTGGTTTTTTAACACTTCTAACTTCGATTAGCATCAATATCACGAGAAATTTCAGGGTTTAGAGCTCTAAAGCTATTTAGAAGCTCAATTTTGCAAAAACTGCGATAAAGTTGCATGCGAAGGGGATTAAAACCTTGATACTTTCCTTATTAAGCACGTCACTTACCACTACAATACCATCGGTGCCGCCTTTAATATTTCCGAAATAAACGCGATGTCGCGTTGAAAGAGCCGCAACCTCGTAACTCCCTTCAAAATCATTTTTGAGCAGAGTGGAACACAGATTCGGAATCAGCGCCCTACAATCTATCTAAATCCATAATTTTTTTTCGGAAACTCAAATTTTCAACAATACTGGTGACGTCACGGTAAACAGCCACGGTCATAGGCTTTTTAGCTCTTAAGTCGCTGTATGGCCGGTATTCAATGAGATTTGCGGGTATAAATCATTAAATACATCGAAAAGATCTTATTCCCTGTTTTTCCAGGTAGTTTTGGCGGTCTCGAACTTTTTTATTTCAAATATAGAAAATTTATTTTAGGCCGTGAAGTTCAAACTTTGAAGGTTCGTAAATTCATGAATTTGTACTCTTAGACGAACTGTTCTACGCTAGCAGGTAGAACAGAAAACTCTCTATAGGAATGTTATAAAATTACCTACTTGTATGGGTTTTCACGCGAGATATCCGAGCCCGAACCAAGGTGCTCATGCTGCCAGGTGCTCTGATTGCCTGTGGGACCATTTTCAAAATACCATATCTTAAGGATGGTCATGATCACGTGTCAAAGTTTTTGCACAGTGATAAAATAGGCTTTGGTAATTAAGATCTGCATGTGTATGAGTGCTCGTCAAGAAAACTAACCGCACTGGGACGAACGAAAAATGCAGAATTACAGAATTACGACTTGATTTTTACCATTTTTTGGGATCTCACCAACCATCACAAATTTTAGATATTCGGATTCTGCATGCAATAAGCTTTAAAAAATACAGGGTGTCCCAAAAAATGTGCCTACTGTTTGGTTGTAAATAACTCTCTTGTAACGAAGTGTTTCGAGATGCTTTAGGCACCGTGTAGAGCGAGGTTGAACTTAGATTTACAGTATGAAGCGGATCATCTATCACTCTTCATTACTGTAGGATTACGGTAAGAACTTCCAGCATATGGAACCATTGTTAAATATACCACCTAACAAAATTTTTTTTAAAAAATCTGAAAAATCGTGTACTAGGGTTTTCGCGCATGCTGATTCCACCTAACAACTTTTTACGAGTGTTTTCAGCTTTTTTGACGGTGTAATTACATTTCTGGCAAATGCTGGGAATTGAGTTATTACGATTTACCGGGGTTAACTTAGGAAAGAAGCATCACAACAAAATGGGAATTTCGAATTCGAAATCAGCGGCTCCCATTACCGTAGTGTAAGAGTTTCTAACTTGTTTGGTTTCGTTCCAAGGCAGAGTGTAGCCTCCAAAGGCCTAAAATCTTTGTCGAAGTTCCTACCGTAATTCTACAGTAATGAAGAGCGATAGATGATTCGCTCCATACTGTATAACTAAGTTTAACCTCGCTCTACAGAACGGTACCTAAAGCTTCTCAAAATACTTCATTCCAAAAAAGTTATTTATATTCAAACAGTAGGCACATTTTTTGGGACACCCTGTATATAATTTGCTCCCTCTATCAGCACAGGAAAAGGAGCTAATTTTTTATATGCGTCAATTTGGTCCACCAAGGGAGCTTGGGTGCACCTGCACCCAGCTGTGGCACAGGCATGTTCGCACCTCGCAGTAGCAAAGGTGCGAACCCTGCCTTATGGATAACTAGACCATCGATCGACTTCATAGAAAATACCATCATTGGTAATTGAGTTAACAGCGGTAAATCAGAATTTCAAAGCTAGTGGACATAATTCAACAAAAGGAGAAATTTTCAAACTTGTGAAAATTTGATGATAGTCGTTTTTTCCAATTTTTCCCGTTTCAATAATCATTACAGAAAAGTCATTTAATTGTTTGCCCGTGTAAAAATGAATTCACAAAGTGGAAAAACCAAAGAAGAATCCACAAAGTGAAATTTCCGCTTTTCTACAAATTCTGTTATTTCTTCCCGTTTCAAGGAATCAATATAAACCAGGAGGCAGGACTTGTTTTGTAATGGCGATTTCCGGATTTCAAAGCATGTTCTGCAGGGAACCGTTGTATTTTTGAAGAAAGTGATGATTTTTACTTTTTGTAATTTTAGAATCAGCATTTGACTTCTTCCCACAAGCAACTTTTCAGTCAAAGCCGCCACTTTTTTAGTCGTGAATACTTCCTTTCAAACGGGGAGTTCTCTTTCACAATTGCTTCTCGCAGCTAATTGATGTGACCCTGAGGTCATGGTGCGAGAGTGTCCTGTTATTGATAAATTCGGC